TTTTTAGAACATAATTTGCGTTAGATTAGATTATTTACGTTTACATAGAAATATATGTATGCGCGCGTAATGTGCAAATACAAACTTCGATTTAGTTACGGCATGTAATTTCGAAATCTATTTTACATCATGAAATTAATGAATTAAAGAAATTTATAAAATGTAATTTTATCTTCTAAATATTTGATATAAGTTTTACATGTAATTGATACGAAACGTTTTATTTTGTTGATATTTAATGATAGAAAGAATTAAATATTTTATTGTTTTGTAGGAATGCTTTTTTATAAAATTATTTTCTATCGAGCGCTTTTATTTTCTTGATTTTAGTTTAAGATATCCTTTTTTTTATGTTTAGGATATCCTTACAAGCTGAAAGAATTGAGATTGAAAATATTCAAAATATTCAGTTTTTAATAATTATCTCTATTAGAATAGGAAGTTGTATGTTCTTTAGCAATTATTAATGTGATATAATTCGAGCATTCTTTGCAGTAATATTCATTGTGACACGGAGACCATTCACCATTGTAATCTATACTCTTAAAACGAGTTCATGTCTGATTCCATGAAAATGAATACGTATTAGTATTAGGTGTTTTGTGTAATACAGTACATAATCAAATTTACTATTTTTGATACATGTATTTATTGTGGCGGGCGATGCTGAAATCACCCAATGAAATTAGAGAATAAATACTGATCAGCAAATGGGATGCGCTAATTTCAGCATCAGCTCAGACGTTATTTATGAAATTATATCTTCTAGGATCTTTACAATGGTAAATGTTATTATTATTGCGTTGTGTCTTTATCCAAAATCGAAATGCAAATAAATGACGGTTAATACTGCAAACGCAATCTCATTAAATTCATATAGCCCAGCATCACTTTGTAAATGTAATATTTTTCGTAATATTTGTTTTTTGTCTCCCAACGACTTGTGCTTAAAAAATCTGGCGATGATTGTATATTAAATATTATTAAGTAAAGAATTAAACAAGAGATACAAAACTGTATGAGATGATTTATAGAGTTCGTATTAAATATTATTAACAATAATTATTTATTTATTTGTTGAATTTCACATAATTAAGAATTATATTAATAATATGGCTGGTATATTATTTATATTATATCATTTATATATGACTTATTCAAAATCTCAATGCATTTTTTGTCATTTTATTAAAATGTAAAAAATGTGCTGTAAATTTTTTTGGATATATAAAATCAAAAAAATAGTTTAATAAAAAAGATTCTTTGCATTTATTTTATTCTAATTAATATTAAAGCTGATAAAAATATAGGAATACTCACTAATTATTAAACAATTTTTGAGTAATTTATTATATATTTAAAGTTAATATAATTTTTCATATAATAATTAGACTTATTTAAAATATTAAATTCTAATAAAATATTTTATTGTGTTCTAAATATTAATACTTATTTTACAGATTTCAAAATTATTAATAAAAATACTGAATTTTAGCATATTTTCTTCCATATTTTCAAGTTTATGCAAAGTATAACATAAAATATTATAGATAATATAAATCTTTTTTTTGAATTCACATTCTCTATAATAATTTATGAATCAATATTCTAATCTTTATAAAAACTTATAATTTTTATAACAATGTTATTATTTTTCCGGTTGTATTCTAGATATTTATATTCAAAACTTAGTAGTATAGACTTATTTTATTAATAATTTACCAAAAAATTGTTTTCTCTTTTAAAACCTGTAAATAAGTAATGTATTACAAGTTTCAAATATAAACAATAAATGAAAATTGCTGTATATATATAATAGAACTTAATGGCTAATTTATCGTTCGAAGTTTATGGACGAAGTTTGAAAACGTGTACGTGAATTTTTGAAGCTTCTAAAACAATCAGTTCTTTTGGGTTATCTTTTAAATTATAAGATTATAGAATCTGAAATTCCGAATACGCATAATAATATTCAAAGACTATTTCATTAGTGAAAAACGTTGTTTTTACGTGCAATGTTAATTTATTATCACTAGTTTTCTTATACTTTTAATCATCTGATGGCGGATTGCAATTAAAATTTCTTTTGCAAGAGTGCTTATCCCATAAAAATTCCGTAATGCATACTGGCTAAGAGCATCAGAGCTCAACTTATATATTTCTAAACAAAATTTTGAATTATGCTAAAAACATATAAAGTTGCGTGTTGTTTATAAAATTATAAAATACAATGGACATGATGAATAATAAGAATTTATTATATAATGCTAAACAAGAAATTTTTCAGAAAGTTTTAAATTAAGTTTAAGTTTTAATTTTCGAAAATTATAACCATAGCAAAATACATAGCGCCACAAATATTTACATGAAAATTTATATAATCGAAATTCGAGTATTTTTTATAAAGATAAATATCAAAAATTCTTCCAGACCTTATTTGATGATGAAGGATGATTATTGTGTACTGGTGATAAGTACATGAACATGTACATGTACATGTACATGTAAATAGGAAAAATATCATATGTCTGAATAGATCAACAGGTGACTTATTATGTCCCAGCAGCTAAAAATCTGTCCGGCATTACATTCCATGCGTACTGCATAAGATGGCAAAATATCCTCTATACATGTATTAAGTTCAAGGAAAAAGAAAAAATACAATAAATGTTCGAATTTTAATTGAAATTGGTGAATGAAAATTTATACGAGACATAGAATTTTTGATTGCTCATCATTCGCAACAATCCAGGATAACTTAAACTTTTGTGCATTATTTCTAAATCTTGCGCCAGTCTTTGAGGGCTATATTACTGTACTATATATTTATTTATATAAAAATCGACTCGTTAAAATTAAACAGTTAAAAAAAGAAATTTAAAAAGTAGAATTAATATTGATCTGTTCTAATTGATACAATTAGAGTAATTTGTGTTAATAATTTTGAAAATAAAGTTCGTATATTTTATCGGCCATAAATGTTCCCAATGTAAGCATCACTCACAAAAACCGTCCGAAATTAGGCATTACATGTATGGACCATTAGCATTGTACATGTAATATCCCTCAAAAATAATACTTCATGATTTAGACCTGGATACATTTCATTTACTTAATTAATAGATTTTAAAACAATATAATTTATTACGCGAGTCTTCGGCAAACAGACGTCCGAGAATCCGATTGTACATGTAGATGTTATTTTACCAAATCGGAATCTTGATCCGATTTATAATTGCATATCTTTTCCTAAACTTGAATAATATCCAGGTCTTTTTCAAAAGTCGATATTTATTAACCCGAATCACGTATAACAATAATATAAGTGATATTATTATTTAACTGTAAGTATTGATATTTCCCTCATTCGTGCTCGATTCTATTCTTATTTATCTAATTGGAATTTGATTTTAAATACAGTGGAATTTTCTATACATAACACCTCAAATATAATATCCATAGTACTCACGGGGTGCTATTCAATTAAAGTAGTATGAGCTTTTGAATAGGATAATATATACAGTGCTAAAACGATTACGATAATTAGAATAGCTCGCTTGCTTTATAACAAGAAACTTAAATCTTGCCAAACTCAAAAAATATGAGAATTAAAGTCTAATATACATTGCAAAAAAGATATTGGTAATTCGGGTGCACTCCGTATTAAAAAGAAAATGACTCATCAGTTATTAATTTAGAAAAATGTTCTTTGATAACTTTTGTTTCAGGTGAGTGGCTAAGAAGGTAAAATACGAGGGAGTTAATGTGGATATGAAAATTAAACTTTTAATTACATATTCGATTTGCATGATATAAAAAACATTGTATTTTTGTGTACATTTTTTGTGAGTGCGTAAGAGAACAGCTTTTTCATCATTTTAAACTCGAATGATACATTAGCGAATGCTTTCTAATTACTAGTGACTACTTAATTTGGTTTATAACCAGCTGCATTTCCATTTTGAAATTTTTGCGATGTCGTATTTTTTATGCACATGTATTTTTGTTTCATCTTCAAAAGACGAAACCAACTAGCCATTTTTTGCAGCGACACAGTAACATTCGTTCTATTGAGACCTACAAACACGGTAAAGACATTAAAGGTATGACAATACTGCGGATAATGAGGTTTTTCGGATCTTTTGTTTACAAAATGCACTTACCAAACATGCACCCCTCCTCATAGTTGCCATTAAATAAACAACACTAATTTGGAAAAAAGTTTGGACTTTTAAGTAAAAATTAGCAATATCTTAAATTTTATTATGAAGCTAATTTGAACAATCTAGATAAAATTGCTTAGAATTTAACGTTGTATATAACCAGATTTTTTACACATGTATATTCTTTTTTAATATATACCGAGTTTGGATAGCTTGGACATGGACTTGGTCAAGCCAAAAAATGGCCTGCCATCAGGATATTGATTGCCAAATAAGTGTTCAATAAAATTTTTTTGTTAAGAAAGAGATTACTAATTCTTTATCAATAAATTTTCAAATTGAAAGAATCGTTTTTGGACAATTTTAAAGCTAAAATTAGTCTATAAATTTCAACTGGCTATATAATGGAATGACAATTGATCTTGTTAATACGCCACTTCGCCATAATTATTAGTTTTGTTGTCCAGAACATTCAAATACTCTTAGTTGATCCTTCTGGACGGAGTGCGCTGTTTCGAAAAAATTTCGTAATACAATGGCTTAATTATTGTCGCTTTTTTAAACTGAAAATACATATGCATGTACTTAAGACATTTGTTCAACTGTACATTCGTTAAGCGCATGCAAATTGCCTAGAACAAGCGAAGTTATATCCGCAAAAATTTTTTCCATATTGCAATAAATTAAGTTTGATACGCGAAAACCAATCATATCGATTTATTTTTGTTAGCCAAATAAATTTAGCCCGCTCCTTGTGTGACACATTCGGTTTTAGCGTGTTATATAAAAATAGTGATAGCGATAGTACTAAGCGAGCGTTAAAATTAAAAAAGTATAATGTGGAAAATTTTGTCATTTTTCTCGTATTCAATTGCAATTCTCTGTTTATCATCTTTAATAAAACATAGTGATTCAGTAGTAGAAGCAGTAGATGCAACGGCATATTATTCTCCAGCACCGCGATTGAATCATGCGACCGGCTTAATTGGAGACAAGGCTTATTTTTTTGGGGGAAAATTCAGTCAAGAAACATATTACAACGATCTCTTTTACCTTGATCTTTCGGTGAATTTCAATCAATCTTCACCGCCATTTGTAGATTTGAAGGATATTCCTGATATCCCGGCGCTTCAAAGTTCCGCTTACACGCTTGGAGTAGATAATTCTACATTATATTTATTCGGAGGATGGGAAGTGAGTACTATTTGCGCATAAAATTTTCGATAATGTTATTTTCATTTTATTGATTTACATTGTAAATTATAAAGGAAACAAGTACCATTACAGAAAGTAAAAAAGTCTACGTAATTGACATAAAACAAGCGAATTCTACGTGGACTGTATATGACAATGATACAGCAGCATACAAGAATGATGTATGGCCGTCTCCTCGTTATTCTACTTCGACCAAAATTGATGGTAATGGATTAATGTATCTCTGGGGAGGCATGTTCTGGAGTGCAGATGGTAACCCACCAAACGACACGACGATGTACATATTTAATACGAATACGAAAAAATGGACCATAAGTTTACCAGCTAATGCACCGCTGCAACGGTATGATTATGCTACAACATTGCTGAGCGATGGTCGTATAATTTATACTGGTGGTGAACTATATGGGCAAAATGCTTCGGCAAAGATGGAGGAGGTTAGAAATTTTTATTTGTTCTAATATTTGTTTATTTTATTCACATCCTTTTTAAACCAGTTTTATAAAAAAAAATCATTAGGTGTTAATATATGACACAACAAAGCTACAATGGTCCGTAAAAGTGAGTAATTTTCTTTCTTGTTTGGATATCTAAATCTTCGAACGCTTAAAGTTACTAAGAAATAAATGGTTTTTACTAGATGACAGTTAGTCAAACTCCCGGAGTTCCGCGTTCAGCTCATACTGCTGTACTTGGTAAATGTTGTTGTAATTTAAAAAAAATCGCATATTTCATTTTGACAATTCATTAAACTAAAAATCAAGCATTGATAATGTTCTAGCGCAAGATGGATATAATATATTAATTTACGGTGGCTCATCTGACGATATTAAATTCCCCCTTGTTATGTTGAATACAAACAATTTCACTTGGAGTTATCCGACTCTTATTGGAAATTACGGGCCAAAATTTTTACCTCGGTTACACACAGCAACCTTATACAAGAATTACATGATTATTGCTTTTGGTAATATTATATTGTGAAGCCAATCAAAAATTCTCCCAAGCGTATGCTAACATTTAAAATAATTCAAAGGTCAGCGAAACGGAAATCCAAGCTCGGAAATCAATATTCTAGATATATCAAACTTAACCACCTATAACGTTGCCACCTGGGTTTCATCAGCTAGATTATCTTCTGTTGACACAAACGCAACGACGACGAATACCACACCAACGACTGACTCTCCATCACCATCACCACTAACAAGCAATCAAAGTGATAGTTCGAATAATCAAAATGTAATTATTGGTGGTTCAATAGCTGGTGTTGTCGTTGTGATTTTAATTGTTGGGGCAGCAGCTTTTCTCTTTTATCAGAAACGTAAAAAAAAATCGAGTATTGCCGATGATAGTCAACATGAACAATTACAACATGAGCAATTGCATGAAGTTGTTCTTGATACATCAAATATCGATATTGAATCACGACATGAACATTCTTCGCAGGTCGCAGATATTGAATCACGACATGAACATTCTTCGCAGGTCGTAAATATATGATCAGAAAAATATCGCATATAATTCATTTTGTCTGATCTATAAATTAATTATAAATATTTAAAATGGTAATAATATTAATTTAAATATAATTCTTTTAGTTCTTTTTATTTATAACAAATTATATTATCTTTTATTAAATAAGTTTTTTAAATATAAAATGATATTAATAAATATTTTAGCATAGTTATTAAAGTACATGTATTTCTTTAGAGTTTTAATTTTAATATTCACAATTCCCAAATTAAAATTTAATTGGGAGACTCAAACATCACACACAAATAGTATAATATTTTTTTGCTAGTGTCTCACGTATCATGAGAATCACCATCGTTACGTATAATAAGAATCACTATCGCTATGTACAAGTACATGTATAACGATAATGAGAAACACAATCGTACATGTATAATTGATAATCACTATGAAGAAGATCAAACTTTAATTGCATATTCTAACTTTTGAATGTGTATTTCTTGCCTAATTCAGATATAATTGAACAAATTTAGTGTTTTTCTATTTTTATCTTGATTTCTTGCCCAGTCAATGAAAAGAACCCGATAAAGAAATTCATCGGAGAAATTGATCTTCGTTTTCTCCGTTAACATTCTCATCAAAAGTACAAGTACAAAACTTCTATTACATGTATTCATAGAAACTGTTATTATTGCATATTCTTATACAATGTAGCATAGCAATGATGCATTCACATGAAAAATACATGTAATGTGAGATTACTATTGCACGAAATTTATCTCGTGTAGCATTTCAATTGTTGTATTTCCAAAATTAGCCAATCACAATTATAAAATCTTACTAAGCCATGTATACGCTCACTTAGGGTCACATGCCTCATCTATCTATACATGTGCATATAACGAGAATTTCTTTTACCCCAATAATAGAAATGGTTATATAAATAATCGTTGTATTCCGAAACACATAATTCTTCTCTTGTGGTCTCTATGTTTGTTTATTTTTTATCATCAAGTTTTTTCCCACTTTAATCGTAGGTATCCCAATCATGATCATAGCCAAGAATATGCATTTAAGGAATACATTCGTTTTCCTGCTTGCCATTATTTCCGGTAGGATTCTTGCCGATTATACGCCAGACCCCCGTTATGCCAACACAGCCAGTCTGATTGGCAATAACATTTATTACTTTGGAGGAACATCTACGAATAATAAAATTGCGTATAATGATTTCTTTTTTTTGAATCTCGAAAATGCATTCAAGTCAAATTCCACAATATTTGAACTTGAACTAATTCTCGGTAAAGAGGATATACCGAGCATGTATGGTCCAACATACGCGGTTGGTGAAAATAGTTCCACAATATTTTTATTTGGTGGTTGGGTAGTGAGTATCAGAAATGCAACCCATTTTTATGAAATTTAAGAGCAACTTCCCTCCGAATAATCCCTTGTAATTAATTTATAGAATGCATCTGATATCATTAGTCAAAGTCAAGTTATTTACAAGATTTATGTGAAACCTGGAAGTACAACTTGGTCTCAAATAATAAACAATCAAGAGAACACCACCACATGGCCAAGTGCACGATCTTCGGCAGCAGCTGTCATAGATACTAGAGAATATATGTACATTTGGGGAGGTCAAATAAATGTTGATAAACGAATGTACGTTTATGATACTATTCATAATGTGTGGCATAACCCGTCGAATTCAACAGCATCTGTTCGGTTCAATTATACTGCAACTTTGCTTGGCGACGGACGTATTTTATATATTGGAGGATCTAATTCATCCACATTGAAACCAGTAAATTTAAGTCAGGTAATTAAATTTTTTTTGGATTTATTCATGCATTTTTCGCGCTCTGGTAAATATTTAATTCAATCTCTAGATTCTCATCTATGATACAGTGAGTCTTCAGTGGTCAACGAAGGTAAAATTTCAAGCAAAATTAATTATTGATTTACGTTAAATTTTTGTTCCTAAAGTTTATCATTGATTTATTATCAGACAGTTCCAAATACAAATAAACTGTCATTATTCCCTCGTGATGGACATACTTCCATTTTATGTGAGCTGAAAATATTTCAAATGTTTAGAATTTATGAATTTTGATTACCTATCGAATAGCTATTGAACATTAATATATCTTAAATAGCACCAGATGAAAAAACCATTATCATCTATGGTGGATTGGACGTTGACGACAAAACGGCATTACTTCTTTTAGACACGACATCATTCAGTTTCTCATATCCAAAAACAAATGCTGGTCCCAATCCCGTTCCTGCATTTCATACAAGCATCTTATACAAAAATTTCATGATTGTCTCATTTGGTATTTATACTATTGGCAGTCACAGAAAATCATTAAAAAGACTTCGATTAATTTATATAACCTCTATTCCTTTCACTAGGCCTACGAAATGGAAGTGCATCATCAGACGTGAATGTACTAGAAATTTCAAACTCGAGCAATTATAGATGGCTTGCAGGATTCGATTATTCCTCACCTTCAAATTCATCTCCAAAACCATCTACTAACACCCCTTCAAACTCGAATCCTGAATCTAATAATAATGGCTCGAACAATTCTGGCAACACGAATTCAACTAAAGCAACCTCAGGAAAAGAACCGCCATCTTCATCGACAAAAGGCACAATTGGCATCATATTTGGCATTTTGGCCGGATTAAGTATCTTGGGAGGATTTACGTTTTGGTATCGTCGACGTCGTGATTTGCCAACATTGCCAATATTTGATCACAGTCATTTTTCCGAGATGCAAGCAGGTGAAACACAAACGTCAAATAATAATCGTGGATTAATTAATGAGGAAGCACCTAATGACGGTCCTCAGAACTCAAATCGAATAGTTACTGATATCCAATTATAAAGATTTATATTTATTTATAATTTAATAAATTAATGAATATTTCTGTGCTTAGTTTTAGAGATTACTGTTCTAATATTAAAATATTTATTTTGTATATATATATTAGGATTTTGCAAGTGTCCATGCCAGGCATATTGGGCACTGTGCCGGCAATAATGCCAATGCCTAAAAAAAAGCCTGGCGTTTTTAGACCAGGCACGAGATGTCTATGTGCCCATGCCCGTACCATATTATTTTAGGCATATGCCCAAATAATCAATAATACTTAATACATAAACGAGATCATAATTAGATTGATATTTGATTTATTTTCTGTAAAAAAATAATTGCAATCTGAAAATTATAAAATGATTCTATTAGTAAAATATGTGATTCTCATTAAAATAACACGTTACAATTTTTTAATAGAAGATTTGATTATTTTTTCTGACGATTCTACCTCTAATATTTATTACAAAATGATAATGAAACAGAAATTGGTAGTAATTCTAGCAGGAACACATTTGAGAAATCATATTACATGCTCTGATTCTTCAACATATACATTAAAGATGATAAATTTGGATTTATCAAAAATATTACAAAAGATTATGTGAATATTCAATTGTTGATTTGGTTATTGGAACAGGAATACCTTTTAATGGTCTTAATTGTTCATTATTTCATAAAATGGCAAGAAAACTTCAGTATATAACTAATACATATAAAATTCCACATTCAACAACAATATCACGACATCTTACTGGAAACACATTAATGAGATTTGATTTTATTAAAGAAATTTAGCAAAAACTTCGAGCCAAATTTCATTAAGTTGATATTTAAATATTCGTAGATGCAAAATCATTAATATTAATATTATTTTAAGTTTTCAAAAGTCAGATCAAATAGCAAAAAGATATAAATTCAGTAATAATAAATATATTAAAACATTATTCAATTAAAAAAAGTTTGTACTTACTATGAACAATATAATCATAAATAAAGCTGTAATTTGATTACTTCAAAATGAGTTGTCAAATATAAATTTAATATTTATAAAATATTTATATTACATTTTGAATCTTATTATCAAAACAGGCTTAACAGAAATAAGCCTGCTTAAAAAAATTCAAAATATATAAAATATTTGGCGAATTCTTTAGCTAAGTGATCTATTATAAAGTTATTAAAATATATTTTTTAAGACCAGTTCTTAAAATAGATATGTATTTAAATTCTACAGTCAATCGCAAAAGTATCCAATCCCTTTTAACTTTCCATAGATCATGTGTAATACACCAAATTTTTCCAAGCACAAAGAACATTACAAATACTAATTATAATACCTTTTATAGAGCTTCTATATCGGGTATTATATGTTCATAAACTTTCATGTTCAAATACAATAAATCAATTATAATCTCAATATCTAATAATCCAATTTGAGTGAGAAAAAATATCATACGATTTGCCTAATCTAGGCAAATCAAATGATAAGATGATTTATATTTATCAATTAATTTTTTATTAGAAATTAATTGTCAAAAAAATGAATTGATTAATTTAGAATATAATATCTTGATCTCTAATAATTCAACTTGAATAAAAATTTCATTCAATTAATCTTAACTAGACAAATTGAATAATATTATTTTTGTTCAAATCAGATTACTAGAGATCAAGATATTATATTTTAAATTGACCAATTCATTTGGTTAATGTCAAAAAAAATGAATCTGCTACTTTAAGATATAATATTTTGATATTTAGTAATCTGATTTGAACAAAAATAATACTATTTAATTCATCTTAACTAGACAAATCAAATAGTCTTATTTTTATTTAATATCTGATATAAAAGCTTTATCAATCTATAAAAGATATTATGATTAGCATTTATAATATTCTTTGTATTCAAAAAAATTTGATATATTATATATAATTTATAAAAAAGTTAGAGAAGATTGAATATTTTATAAAATATTATATATTAGTAATATTTAAAGATATATTTTTTTATATTTAGAAATATATAAAATATACTTGAAGAAATTTTTAATATTATCTTGCTTGAATTATTAAAGCTTAAATTATTAAAGCTTAAATTACTTTATTAATTACTTAAACTTTTAAAATTATTATATTAATTCTTTTTAAAAATTAATTAAATTTAATTTTAAATATTTCAATAATAATACTTGGAATTGTATAATATATTAATAAAGCTAAAATTTTAATAATTTAATTCAGTTAATAAAAAAATATAATAACTAATTATATATATATTAAATTTAAGATATAAGTTTAAATAATTTTAATTAAACTTGATAAATATAATAATATTTATTTATATAAATTAGTATAAAAAAATTTATATTTCAATATAAAAATTAATAATTATTTCTAATAAAAATTATTTAAACTTTAATTAATTTTTATAATTTTTTTATATTAAATAAAAAATAATTTAAATTAACTTTTTATATTATTTTAGCTATTCTATTATATATTGATTTAATAATAAATTAAGTATTACTTTACTAAAAAAAATTAAAATAAAATTATTTATTTAAAAAAAGAAAATTTAAATATTATTATCAATTTATAATCTTAAAACTTTAAATTATGCAAGTAAATTACTCTAGATTTAATAAATATATATTTAAATTTCATAAAAATTAAATTAGTAATTATTAAGATATTAAAATTCAAAGTTAAATAATTAAAAATATTATTATTAGTAAAAATTTTTATATTTAAATAAATTTCAATATCTAATAACTTAATTAAATAAAATAAAATAAAATTATATTTTGAAAAATAATATATTAATATTTATCTAAGATATAAATCTTTTTTTGTATCAATTTATAATATATAATAAAAATAATCTTATATAAATAAATATATAAATACATAATTATTTTCAGATATTAAAATTAATAATAATTATTTGATATTTAATTTATTAATTTCAAGAAAATGAATTTTAAAGAGATATAATTCTAATATTAAATTAATTAATTATAAAATAAAATTATATAAAAAATAATCTCTTAAAAAATTTAATAATAATAATAATAATAAAAATAATAAAAAATTATTTTAATAAAAAATTTCTAATTTTATGTAAGATTATTTTATTAATAATTGTAAATAAAATAAAATGCAATATAAATAGTTTTAGTTTTATAACTTATAATTATTTTATTATTTAAAAATATTCAAATCTGAAATTAAAAGTACATAACAGACAAGTCATATTTATAATAAAGAAATAAATATAAAATATAAATAAATTAATAATAATTTATAATTAATAATATAAATATATATAATAATTATCTGTATAATAATATGCTAATTTAATATATTAAATATATAATAATTATCTATATATCTAGAATAAAATCAATCTTTAAGAAAAAAAATAATACAAAGCTAATATAAGATTATTTTGTTAATGATTATAAATAAGATAAAATGCAATATGAATAAGTTTTAATTTTATAACTTATAATTATTTTTATTATTTAAAAGTAT